AAATCCGGGAGTTTAAAAAATCAGCTTTAGAAGCAACACAAAAAAGCATAGTAAAATATATCAAAGTTAGGATTAAGTCCATTAAACACCTTGGGTTTTTTTCAAGCATACTTTGTCACTTGCTCTATTTACTAAGTATATCTGTTTCATAAAAGAGCTTTGTCTATTGCAAGGCATGACGATTACAGAGGCCCTAATGACTCTTCTTGTTCTTGAAAAAGTTTCCTTTTCAGAGATGATCCTCCTTTTATCTGTAGCTACAAATGTTTATAAAGTTATTGGTCTGCACAACATAGCAGGAGAAAGAAAGCAAATGGCTTGAGTTAGTCTTCTGCCTTATATTCTGTGAGGCCGTCATTAAAATGTCTTTGAAAACTGTCCTTTACAGTGACAATAGGTAGAAGGTACCATCCACCTTGTGTCACTGTAAAGGCAAGATATAAATCTAGTAGCCAGACTTGTAAATTATTACTAAGCTTAACATCTGGGTTGACCAAACTAATTATAAAAAATATTCTCCTGTGTGATCTATAACCAAAAGAGATTTTGGTTGTTGGTGTTGGGTTTTTTTGAATATTTCCAGGTGATTGGAACATGATTTTTTATACAAATATTTTTACTAAACAAATCAAAGATTATAAACAGCCAAGTCAAACATCTTTACTTCAAAGTTCACACAGTGCCACAGATACACAGCATTGCTTGTAAAAATTTATAAACTGACTAACTCATGGCCTGAGATTTCAAAATTAGACATTTAAATTCACATTCAGACATTTGAGTGAGTTCCCTGATTTCCAAAACCCGCTGCACCACCACCACAAGCAGTTCCTACCCGTTCTTTTGTAGCCTCTTCTCAGGAAGAAGAACTCATCACAAGAATATTCTGCCTTGCCAGACTTGTTAAGTCTGGTTTTACATATATTTCACAGAATATACATTATATATTCAACAAACCTGGCAGAGATGAAAAGTGTCCCTATAATCATATCCAGAAGTTAAAAAAAAAAAAAAAAATAGAAAAACAATTATACATGTATTCAGATGAAACATTTCTGTCAGAAAATCTGCCAAGAAAATGTTACTTAATAGGGTTTTCTAGAGTACAGTTGAACTTTCAGGTCATCAGTGATAGCAAGAGAAGCCTACTTAGATGTTTCATAAAAAATGCTATGCTAATTTAACTTTTAAATACAAATACAACCATTTTAAAATAGGGTTACGAGCTCTGATGCTTTAGTAGTACTGATCTGTCATTGTAAATATAAATAACACTTTGAAAATCAATAAATGCATGAGTCAAGAATTTCAACACAAAAGTTCAGAATAGCAGCCTTTGCTCTGATACATATTCTGTTACCTTCATCACTGAGAACACACATATTCCTAAAATACTCATGTATTCTAAAATCACAGATTACATTCCTGACATGACTCATATCTTCTGCATGTGAAAAAGCTACCCAACAGTAGGCCCACCTCCAACTCCTTTTAAACAAGCAAAAATCAAAGTATTTCTTTCTTGGCATCCAGATTTGGCAGTGGTTGAATATCCTTAGTGTCTAGTGAATTTGTCATGGTACCACAAAACTTCCATAGCCATTCCCACATAGAGCAGCAGGTCTGCAAAACCCATCCACAATACACCATTGTAACATGCCCTGTGATGGCAATGGGATCTGTTTGCCTCCCATTACAGCCTAGAAAGATGCTTTGTTTAATTTATTTACCTTTTCAGTGACCATTTCCATTCAACTATGGAATTCAATTGAAGCTCAACATGGATGATCAGGTAGTGAGGTGGACTGTGAACTGGCTGAAGGAGAGAAGCCAGAGAGTTGTAGTCTATGGGGCTGAGTCTAGTTGGAGGCCTGTAACTAGTGGAGTACCTCAAGGGTCAGTACTGGGACCGGTATTATTTAATATATTCATCAATGATTTAGATGAGGGAATTGAGTGTACTATCAGCAAGTTTGCTGATGACACTAAGCTGGGAGGAGTGGCTGACACACCGGAAGGCTGTGCTGCCATCCAGCAAGACATGGACAGGCTGGAGGGTTGGGCAGGGAATAACTTGATGAAATATAACAAGGGAAAGTGTAGAGTCTTGCATCTGGGCAGGAACAACCCCAGGTTCCAGTACAGGTTGGGGAACGACCTGTTAGAGAGCAGTGTAGGGGAGAGGGACCTGGGGGTCCTAGTGGACGACCCGATGACCATGAGCCAACGCTGTGCCCTTGTGGCCAAGAAGGCCAATGGCATCCTGGGGTGTATTAGAAGGGCGGTGGTTAGTAGGTCGAGAGAGGTCCTGCTTCCCCTCTACTCTGCCCTGGTGAGGCCGCATCTGGAATACTGTGTGCAGTTCTGGGCCCCTCAGGTCAAGAAGGACAGGGACCTGCTGGAGAGAGTCCAGCGCAGGGCAACTAAGATGATTAAGGGAGTGGAGCATCTCCCTTATGAGGAAAGATTGAGGGAGCTGGGTCTCTATAGTTTAGAGAAGAGGAGACTGAGGGGTGACCTTATTAGTGTATATAAATATATAAAGGGGGAGTGTCACGAGGATGGAGCCAGGCTCTACTCAGTGGCAAACAATGATAGGACAAGGGGTAACGGGTACAAACTGGAACACAAGAGGTTCCACTTAAACTTGAGAAGAAACTTCTCAGTGAGGGTGACGGAACACTGGAACAGGCTGCCCAGGGAGGTTGTGGAGTCTCCTTCCCTGGAGACATTCAAAACTCACCTGGACACATTCCTGTGTAACATTATCTAGGTGTTCCTGCTCCGGCAGGGGGATTGGACTAGATGATCTTTTGAGGTCCCTTCCAATCTCTAGCATACTGTGTGTGTACTGTGTAGCATTGAACTGGGTCAGGGCAAACGCAAGCACAAATACAGGCTGGATGGAGACTTGGATTGACAGCAGTCCTGCACAGAAGGACTTGGGGGTGCTGGTTGATGAGAAGCCCAACATGGCCCAGTAGTGCGTGCTAGCAGCCCAGTAGTGTGTGCTAGCAGCCCAGAAAGCCAACCATATGCTAGGCTGCATCAGAAAGAACATGACCAGCAGGTCGAAGGAGGCGATCCTGACCCTCTACTCAAGCTCTGCCGCAGGTGAGATCCCACCTGCAGTACTGCGCTCAGCTCTGGGGTCTCCAGAGATGAGCAGAGATGCAACATACAGATGGACTCATGATCGAGGGGTGGACTTAACAATGGATGCTATTGCCCAGGTTATTCATGAGTGTGAAACGTGCTGCAATTAAGCAAGCCAAGGGGTTAAGGCCTCTTTGGCATGGAGGACAATAGCTGAAGTACAAATATGGGAGGCCTGGCAGATTGACTATATCACACTGCCACCAACCCGCCAAGGCAAGCGCCATGTGCTTACCATGGTGGAAGCAACCACCCTGTGGCTGGAAACATACGCTGTGCCCCATGCCACTGCCCAGAACACTATCCTGGGCCTTGAGAAACAGATTTTGTGGCAACACGGCACCCCAGAGAGAATTGAGTCAGACAATGGGACTCATTTCCGGAACAACCTTATGGACAACCTCATGGACTGTTCTTACCTCAACCCGTGGGAGTTACAGTCTTCTGATTCTCTTTCCCATCCCTCTGGGAGCAGGAGGAGGAAGAAGGGAGGGAGTGAGCGAGTGGCTGCATAGTTCTGTGGAGTGAGTGAGTGAGCGAGTGGCTGGACTTAAACCATGACACCAACACAAGAGGAATGAGGACCTGCACAGTTGAGTCCATGAGGAGGCCAGAAGATGAAGATGACCAGAGGGCTGAAGCACCTCTCCTACGGAGACAGGCTGAGGGAGTTGGGCTTGTTCAGCCTGGAGAAAGAAGGCTCCAGAGAGACCTCAGAATAGCCTTCCAGTACCTAAAGGGGACCCACAAGAAATCTGAAGAGGGACTTTTTACAAGGGCATGCAGTGACGGAACAACATGAAATGGCATTAAACTGAAAAGAGGGTAGATCTAGACTGGATATTAGGAAGAAGTTCTTCACTATGAGGGTGGTGAGGCACTGGCACAGGCTGCCCAGAGAAGTTGTGGCTCCCCCATCACTGGCAGTGTTCAAGGCCAGGCTGGATGGGGCTTTGAGCAACCTGGTCTAGTGGAAGGTGTCCCTGCCTGTGTCAGGGGAGTTGGAACTGGATTGTCTTTAAGGTCCCTTCCAACCTAAACCATCCTGTGATAACTAAATGAAAGCTGTTGAACTTGAGAGAGGAAGAAATCAAATATCTAACTGCCAAACTCAAAGCCAGCCATGCAGATTTTGAAATGTATTTCAAACCAGACATGTATTTTCTACATTAGTAGCTATCAACATCACACAAAGGTAGGTATTCTTACAGCATTTTGAGCTTTAAAGGTTTTTTTTTGTTGTTGTTGTTCTTCTCCAACTGTAAATTGGTTATGCTGGTCATGGTTACATCTGCACATCACGCATCCTTGGAGTAAAGTGCTGCTCAGCGTCCTGATGTAATTTTGCTACTTACTCAAATGACAGATCCTAAAAGAAGTTTACCCGTCTTCTGGGAGAAAAGACTTCAGCCAAACCCACCTACTTGTATGAGGCTAAAGATCTTTTGCTAAAGCTAAGGTCTAAGGATGGCTGTGGGGAATGGATGCAAGAGTTGGAACAGTTCTGAATAAGCAATAGTAATGAAGATTAGTGAGCCATTCTGACAGTCTAATAACATCAGAATCTTCCATAAAGTCATTAACTATAGTCTTTCAAAAACAAGAGAGAGATATGCTGCTCTTTTATATCTATATATTGAATATATGTATATTTAACATCTTACTACATTTTTTGTAGTTATGATGCATACATGCCCTATTACAGAAATTCAATTTCTTATTGTTGGATTCTGGGGGAACTTGATTCTTTTATTCCTTCTTGCAAAACCCAAGAAGGGAAAGAGATGTAGATAGCTTGCTCCTACAGCAGACAATGTTACAAAGGATGGAAAAGCAAGGAAAAGGGCTGGAGAACACTATTATTGATGGAAACACTGGGCTCCCACCAGGAGAGAGGCAGATGACAGAGCAGAGCTATGCTGGGGTAGGAAGGACACATAGCACTCCAATCTTCAAACGGCATCAAAGGAGACCGCACTGTGCACTCCTCCAGAATTCCCAGCATCTGACTTCACTCTGACCAAAATGTCTCTGTCTAGGGACTGCTGACAACACACAGCTGCTCCCTCCCCAGACACAGATGGAAGCCTCACTTCTGAAAGAAGAAAATAATCACGACCTTTTCATTATTTTACATCTGTGCACCTGCAGATAGAAACAGGAGGTGCAGGCAGACATTGATCATCTACCCTTCCCTGCAGCTCTCACTGCAGTCTGGTTATTTTCCGTTTATGCATCAATATGTGGAAGGCAGCACCACCCTCTCCTTCCCTCACTGATCTGGAGAGCATCAGTTGTCATAATGATGACTAACTCCAAGTCATTGCCTACCCTGCGAGCTCTACCTCCAACAAGGCAGAGTGGTATAACCACTGATGACACGCTCACCTACCTGGCTGGAGGCCCTGCCGCTGGAAAGAGTAACAGCTTGTTGTGAGTCGTTATTAATGAATCTGGTAACTCCCTCTGCCCATGGCAGACATGAGGGCTATTCTCTTTTTGTACCAACTTAGTAATGCACAGTCCCACAGACAACTGAAAATAGAGAAAATGAAGTTGTCTTCAGCTTCCAGACTGGAAGAGAACTTTACAAAACTGCCAGAATTAGCTACAACACTTCCCATCATTGCCCAATAAAGCAGTACTGAAAGAAAATCGTTCAGAATGAGATCTTCCTCACTGCTGCATGCAGCAAGCCCAGAGCTATTGGAGACCTACCATTTACTCCCATGGGTGCACAAATTAAATTGTGAACTACTGGAAAGAACTATTAAAAAAAAAAAAATAAAAATTGAGACTTCTGCTGCATATTCGAAGAATTCACTTGGAGAAGGAACATCTTCTTTGTAAGATCCAGGTGCCACATCACCCTAATGAGTAAGGCTAACTCCTCCGAATCTGAACAGCTAACAAATGGAGTAATTTGGGATTAAACTAGTTTGTGCTGTAGCTAGTAGTCAGGACAAAGCAAAATTATTGTGACAAATGGCTTTGGCTCTCTGAAGAATATCAGATCTTTACAGAGTTTGTGAAATCAGGATTCTAAGGAGAAAGTCTTAGTGAGTATTGGAAAAACAGCCTGTACAGTTACATGTGTACAGAAGAACATAAAGGAAGACCATATGGGTAAAGAAAAGATGTGAAAGCAACCCTTCAGGTGCAATAAAAACCCCCAGAGCCAAAATACTCATTGCAAATGGCAGGGATATCATGAACATAATAAAACAACTGTTTTGCAAGGGCATATCCCAGTTTTCAAAAACTACAAAGAAGCACACAAAATAAATAAACACATAACTAAGCCCAAAATACAGTTTTATCTGTAGCTAGTGGGCAAGTCATGAAGTAAAAAAAAAAAGACATTCCTAATGATACAGAAAGAGAATTCTGCATGAGAGTAAAAGCTGAACTTCCTGGAGAGCAGTGGCTCCAAACACAACATTACCACAGTCACAATCTAGAGGAACACATACATATCATGAGATTTTAGAATGGAAATGCCAGCTTGTTTCACAAAGTGGCGTAAAAAGCTAAAAAGAATCCCCTAAACTCTTAGTCTTTATGCCAAGTCTGCACCTCTGTTATACACACTGCCCTGCTCTGCAATGCATGGAAAACCAGGAAGGTTTCAGAAAACCCAGGATGCTGTGTTAGGAGCCAGGCAATTAAGATTAATTAGCAAATACTGAAAAGGCAGGTATGTCTTAAGCCCTGACATTTACTTCAGGGCTTAGATTCAACACTGGCTAGTACTAGAAACACAAATTTATGACCTGGAGGCCATTGTGCCTCATTAAAGAGCCTTATGAAGCCCACAGATTCATTTCAAGTAGCTATGCATGCATAAGATAGGAAAAAAGGCTGTCCCACCTCTGTTCATCATAACTCCAGTTCCTCTCTCCCCCAGACCCTGTGTCTACAAGCTCAGTCAGATCATTGACCCAATCCAGTAGCATAACAACCTAGAAAAGACCATTTGTCAGACGTATCAACTCCCTGATCCAAATCAGCTGCACAAATGCTAGAGCAGGAACATATTCAGAGGAGGAAGAACAAGGCTGTTGGTATTTTTAGGAATGTCCAGGATGCAGCTTCAAGTGATCACAGGAAAAAAAGTCCAAGCAACTTCCTGGAGCACTGTGCTTCTGGAGTACAAACTTAAAAAACTCAAAATCATAGATCATTTAGATTGCACAAGGCCTTTAAGATCATCAAGTCTAACCATTAACCTAGCACTGCTAAATCCACCATTAACCATGTCCCTAAGCGCCACATCAAAGACTTTTAAACATTCAACCACTTTGCTGTCAGCCAGTTCCACTGCTTGACAACCATTTCAGTGCAGATTTTTTTCCTCATACCCGGTCTAAACCTCCCCTGGCACAGCCCGAGGCCATTACCTCTTGTCCTATCTCTTGTTACCTGGGAGAACAGACCTACCCCCACCTCACTACAACCTACTTTCAGGTAGTTGTAGAGAGTGATAAGGTCCCCCCTGAGCTTTCTCTTCTCCAGACTGAACACCCCCAGTTCCCTCAGCTACTCCTCATCAGACTTGTGCTCCAAACCCTTCACCAGCTTCATTGCCCTTCTCTGGACCTGCTCCAGCACCTCAATGTCTCTCTTGTAGTGAGGGGCCCAGAACTGAACACAGGATTTGAGGTGCAGCCTCACCAGTGCCAAGTACAGGGGGATGATCACTGCCCTGCCCCTGCTGGCCACACTATGTCTGATACAGGCCAGGATGCTGTTGGCACTCTTGGCTGCCTGGGCACAAGCCGGCTCATGTTCAGCTCTGTCAATCAGCACCCCCACGTCCTTTTCCACATAGCAGCTTTCCAGCCACTCTTCCCCAAGCCTGTAGCGCTGTGTGAGGTTGTGGCCCAACTGCAGGACCCAAATACAGTTGCTGAACTTCAGACAATGGGCCTGTTCAGATCCCTCTGCAGAGCCTTCCTACCCTCCAGCAGACCAACACTCACTGCCCAGCTTGGTGTTGTCTGCAAATTTACTGAGAGTGCACTCAATTCCCTCATCCAGGCCACTGATGTAGATATTAAACAGAATTGTCCCCAGTACTGAGCCCTGGGGAACACCACCTGTGAGGATCTGCCAACTGGATTTATCTCCCTTCACCACCACTCTTTGCACCTGGCCATCCAGCCAGTTTTCTACACAGTGAACAGCATACCCATCCAAGCCATGAGCAGTCAGTTTATCTAGGAGAATGCTGTAGGAAATGGTGTCTAATGATGACTTAATGAAGTCTAGGTAGACAAAATCCACAGTGTTTCCCCCATATAGTAGGTGGGTCACCTTGTCACAGAAGAAGATAAAGTTAGTCAAGAAGCACCCACCTTTCCTAAACACACGTTGACTGGGCCTGATCAGCTGCTTGTCCTGTATGTGCCACATGATGGCACTCAAGATGATCTACTCCGTAACCTTCACTGGCCCCAAGGTCAGACCAACAGGCCTGCAGTTCCCCTGATCCTCCTTCTGACTCTTCTGGTGGATGGGCATCACATTTGCTAACTTACAGTCAACTGGGGCCTTCCCGCTTAGTTAGGACTTGAGAAACGATTAAAAGTGGCTTGGTGAGCACTCCCAGCTTGGTGAGTGGCTTGGTGGGCTCTCTCAGTACCGTTGAGTAGATGCCATCTGGCCCTGTGGACTTGTGTGTGTCTAAGTGGAGTAGCAGGCTGCTAACCTGGACTGGATTATGGGGACATCATTCTGCTCTACATCCCTGTCTTCCAGGGGCTGGGTGCTCAGGGAACAACTGGTCTTACTATCAAAGACTGAGGCAAAGAAGACATGAAGTACCTCAGCCTTTTCTTCATCCTTCGCCACTGTGTTTCCCTCTGGATCCAGAAAAAGATGGAGATTCTTCTTACCCCTCCTTTTGTTGCTATTGTATTTACACCAATGTTTTTATTGTCTTTCACAGCAAGAGTCAGGTTAAGTTCTAGTTGGGTTTTGGCCCTTCCATTTTCTCCTTGCATACCCTTGTGACATCCTTGTAGGCCTCCTGAGTGGCTGCCACTTCTTCCAGAGGTCATAAACTCTCATTTTTTCCCTGAGTTCCAGCCAAAACCCTCTGTTCAGCCAGGCTGGTCTACTTGCCCACCAGCTCACCTTTTGGCATATGGATATGGCCTGCTCTTGCCTCTTTGAGATTTCCTTCTTGAAGAATGTCCAACTGTCCTGGACTTCTTTGCCTTTCAGGACTGCCCCCAAGGGGCTCCATCACCTAGGCTCCTAAACAGGACCAAGTCTGCCCTATGGAAGCCCCAGGCAGCAGTTCTGCTGACCCACCTCCTTACTTATCCAAGAAATGAAAACTCTATCATTTTTGTGATTGCTGTGCCCAAGATGGACTCCAACCATTGCATCAACCACAACTCCTTCTCTGTTCACAAACAAGAGGTCCAGTGGGGCTCCTTCCCTAGTTGGCTCGCTCAACAACTATGTCAGGAAGTTATCTTTCACACAGTCTTAGACTGTTTCCTTTCTGCTGTATTGTAGTTCCAGCAGACATCTGGTAAGTTGAAGTCCCCAGTGAGAACGAGGGCTCGTGAGTGAGACTTGTTCCAGCTGCTTATAGAATATTTGGTCTGCCTCTTCATCCTGGTTGGGTGGTCCTTAACACAATCCCACCATGACAGCTGCCATGTTGGCCTTCCCCCTGTTTCTTACCCTTAAGAATCTTACCCTTAAGAACCCTATCATCATTATCATTAAGCTCTAGACAATCAGAACACCCTCCAGCTGTCCTGGGTTCAGCTGTAACAGCTAGAAACATACGCTGTGCCCCATGCCACTGCCCAGAGCACTATCCTGGGCCTTGAGAAACAAAATTGTGTGGTGACACGGCACCCCAGAGAGAATTGAGTCAGACAATGGGACTCATTTTCAGAACAACCTTATGGACAGTTGGGTCAAAGAGCATGGCATTGAGTGGGTATATCCCATCCTCTACCATGCAGCAGCCTCTGGGAAAATCAAATGGTACAATGGGCTGTTAAAAACTGCAGTGAGAGCAATGGGTGGGGGAACTTTCAAGCGTTGGGATACACACTTACCAAAGGCCACCTGGTTGGTCAACACCAGAGGATCTGCCAACAGGGCCAGCCCAGCCCAGTCAGAACTTTTACATATTGTAGAGGGGGATAAAGCTCCTGTGGTGCACATAAGGAATTCGGTGGGGAAGACAGTCTGGGTTATTCCTGCTTCAGGTAAAGGCAAACCCACTCATGGATTGCTTTTGCTCAGGGACCCGGATATCCTTGGTGGGAAATGCGGGAAGATGGGGAAGTTCGATGTGTACCTCAAGAGGGTTTGATTTTGGGGGAAAGAGCCAATGAACTCAAGTATATGCTGCTGCATGCAGTATAACACTTCTACAGCAGCTAAATGACCATTTCCGCCACTCTGGGCTTTGAAAATATGTGCTGTCATGATCATCAGCAGAGAATAAACTCATGGGAAAAGCTGTAAGCAGCAGTAGGAGTCTCCCAGAATTGTTCTCAGGTCACCAGTGACTGGCCCTGACTTTCCTCCTACCATCATTACGACAAAGGAATTTTGGTGAAACCAGACAAACTCAGCAGTGACCAGATGAGTTCCGCAGTGCCATCAGCAGGCAACAATCCAACACTGCACACTGTCTCTCCTGCCCTGAAAGACGGTTACAACAGATGAAGCCCGACATCATGGACTAAATAACTCAGTGAGCTTTATAGGGATGAACCATGGACTAAGGAGTGATATCTGGCTCTGTGTTTGTGTGCGTGTGTGTGTGTGTGTGTATGTATACCAAAAGACAAAAAGCAATGGTACATTATAAAATGTGGGACTTGAGCATGATGTGAATTGTATGGATAAGGGATGGACACAGTCCTGAGTTCAGCTATAACAGTTATTTTTTCCTCTTTCCTAGTGGCTGGTGCAGTGCTGTATTTTGGCTTTAGTCTGAGAACAATGCTGATGACACAATGAAGTTTTACTTACTGCTAAGTAGCGTTACCCTGGTCAAGGACTTTTCAGTCTCATGCTCTGCCAGTGAGGAGGGGACAAGAAGCTGGGAGAAAGCAGAGACAGGATGCCTGACCCAGACTAGCCAAAGGGGTGTTCCATACCACAGCATGTCACGCCCAGTATATAAACTGGGCGGACTTACCCAGAAGGGACCAGTGGCTGCTTTGGTCAGGCTGGGTATCAATAGGTGGGTGGTGAGCAATTGTTTTGTGCATCATTTGTATTTATTGTGTTTTTTTCTTTTTTCTTTTCTTTCTCTTTTTAGTTTTATATTTTCTTCCCTTGTTATTTCCCTTATCATTATTATTAGCAGCAGTAGCAGTAGTGGTTTGTGTTATACCTTAGTTACTGGACTGTTCGTATCTCAACCCATGGGAGTTACATTCTTTTGATTCTCCTCCCCATCCCATCTGGAGCTGTAGGGGAAAAGGGGAAAGGGAACAGGCAGCTGTCTGGTTCTGAGTTACCAGCTGGGCTTAAACCACAACACCAGCATACAGGACTACCCCACCACCTCTTCTTCCCTGTCTATCCCTTCTGAAGAGTTTGTAGCCATCCATTGGAGCCCTCCAGTTGTGCTGGATCCTTCTGCACCACCACCACCCCCACCCCACCCCGCGCCGCCCTTGAAATTATGATGCCCTGAGCATCAGGTTATGATAATTTTCCTTCATAAATACTGGCCCACAGCCTACAAAAAGTAGTTCACCCTTGTTTCACAGAAAGGAAGCGACCTTGAAGGGGGATTACTTTTGGATGGGTCTTGTGTAGTTATGGCACTGCAGCCTTGCAAAGCACAAGGAAAGACTGAACTAGGTTTCCAGGGCTGTGGATAAGATAAAACCACACAAAGCTGTGAAATGGAAACATTAACTGACAAGAAGCAGGGGCCAGTGCAGTGTTAGATGCAGTCTGAAAAAAAAGCTGAAAGGCAGGGCAGCTGTAAGATGAAGGACACAAAGCAGAGGAAGAAGAATGTCAATGAGACATGGGACAAGGACAAGGGGTGTCTTGTAGTGCAAACAGA